ATTACGTATCACAATCATCATTTGAGCATACATGCTATATTATGTCATATCATGATAATTATATGTCTACTTGCTATTCAACTTGGAATTGTTGTATTAGCGTATTCCTCAGCTGACGCTGAGCGTGTAGTTTGTTTTACTTGCTACACGCAGGTAACAATACTGATCATGGAGCCCATCCCGGAGGTCAATGAGAGTGACGAGATGTACAGACTAGTGGACCACATTTATGATGTTTTAATTAAATAAATACCTTTTCGGGCGAGAACCCAGAAAAATGTAAAACAATTTGATTATGTTTTATATTTAAGCTTCTGCACTGTTTCAGCAATACTCTGAATTTAATATTTGAAATTATCATTTATATTAAAGTTTAAATTGGTTTTAAATTATTCCTCAAATTGTTATGCGTATTTACCATCATGGTAACTACTTCGGCTCAAATAATCTATGTAATTGGGTTATTCGAGTTGGGGTGTTACACTTCAAGACCCCGAAAGCTCGTTCAATAACTTTTTTCGCTGCCTCGTGAGCTTTTTTGTAGGTCTGGCGTTTAAAACACATTGGTTCAGAGAGGGCCTTGACAATCGTGGAATAATCTGGATATATTCCATCGGCCAAATAATATCCACGCTTGTTTTGTAGGTCTGGCGTTTAAGACCCATTGGTTCGGAGAGGGACTTGACAATCGTGGAATAATATGGATATATTCCATCGGCCAAATAATATCCACGCTTGTAAAGCGTCACTCTAAGCTCAAAAAACGAGTCGAGTGCGGTATCATTAATCCAATCTTCAAAAATAGACGATTGATCGAGAACGTTGATGTCGTTGTTCGAGCCCACGACACCGAAAAAATCGTGCCAAAACTACAAGTCATTTGAAGCAACAACTTCGAGCATGATAGTAGACTTGGGATGATCCCCCCGGAAGAACTGACCATGCCATGCAGTGGAACAATTGTTCCATTCCCAATAAGTGCAATCAATGCTACCAAGCATGCCAGCAAAGCAGTGTTTAGAGACATTGTCTTGCCTGTAATTGCGGAATGTCGCTCATTGTAGGCTTGCGTAAATATATTTTATGATAAATTCAAAGAATAGTTTTAGAGAATTTATAAACACATGACCTGATTCGTCGAAAATATGAGATGACGTCTTGTATGCCATCAGATGAAGCGCGATAGTGCACTTCTAGCCACTACTAAACTCGCGTCCGCCTCTCGCATCAAAGCGTTGGGTGAACCAAGGCACCTCGCGTTCAACATCAGCGAGTATGCGCAAAAAGAGAGGACGACTCATCCGAAAATGATTACATAAAATCCTCCGGTGTATAAACACACGGAGTGTTGAAGTAGTCGTTGAGAAGTGAAGCGTGGGCAGCCGCTCGATCGCGATTTAAACGTCGTTGTCGGGTCCGGCGTCGGGAGGATTCGACTTCTTCTTTTTCGCCTTGTTGCCGCCATTGATAACAACTCGTGGCGAAACAACAAAAAATGAGAGCTCTTTTTTCATCATCGGATGAAGATGATCCCATTTTTAAAATATATTTTATAAATAGTTATAATAAATAACTTAATATTTGAAAGAATATTTGATAGAATTGTAGAGAGAAGATAGTGAGAGATGTGTGACAGATAAGTTTGTTTTGATTGAATTTATAAGTTTTTTTTAATTTAATTTTTTGATTAACGGCTATTTTAGCCGTTGGGAGGGGGGGGAGTCGCGTTAAACGTTTGACACGTGGGGCTGACGCCCCATAACGCCGTCAGGGGGCGGTGTTTAACGCCCAAAGGGCATCAAACGACGATTAACGTCGCGGGCGTCAGCCCCATTTCCGTTGCTCTTAGAGTGTAAGTAATTTTTTATAATCTTGAGGAATAAACTTGAGATGTATGTAAGTGAGTTTTACTTGGCTTCCGATGAGACCTATGTAAGTGAGTTTTACTTGGATTGCACATCATATAAATATGCACTGGAACAAACTCGGTAACATATTGAAGATTAGTTACTATATACCATAGTTTTAAAAACTAGATTGGACTGGTCGGTTTGGACCGTGAACCAATGAACCGGTGGTCAAACTAGCCAGGTTCATTTGGACCGCAGTCAGCATCTAACCAGTCTGAATCGATGTGAACCGGTCGGGCCAATTTATTTTATTTTTTCTCAAGAACAATTTATTTATACCCGACAAGTTTGGATTGAAGATTAATTACTATATACCATAGTTTTAAAAATTAGACCAAACTGGTCGGTTCAGACCATGAACCGACGAACCGGAGGTCGAATTGGTCCGGTTCAGTCCTTTGGACCGCAATCAGCATCGAACCAGTCTGAACCGGTGGGAATCAGTCGGACCAATTTTTCTTTTTTTTTTGTTTCGATTTTTTCTTAAAAGTATATGCTATGCGGGTTTGAACACCTACCCTTTTACATGGTTCGTTAAGTTATTAACCGTCCTAGCTAAAGTATTTTTTGTTACATGCTTGCTTAAAGTTTCTAAATATTTCATAATTAAAAAAAAGTGCATAAAGATTTGTAACGCCCCAAAACATACCCTAGAATTATTAATGAATAATTAATTAATTAATCAAATTGTTTTGATTAAAATAAATTGTTGTTGGGCTTTGGGCCGAAATAAAATGTGTTTTGATATCCAATATCACAATCAGGATAAATCTCATAGAGATAAATCCAATTAGTTGACTATTTGTGTGATCTTGATTGGAAACCTGTGTAGAGACCCAAATTAAGAATAAATGAAGAAATTGTTTTATAATGTGACCTTTGAAATGATTTATTGAAATAAATCATGGAAATAAATAATATGAATTGAATATGAGCACCTTTTTGAGTAAAGGTCAAACAAATCAATTTTGACTGTGTCAAAGTCAACCACCCAAAAATATGATGTCGGAAAAAGTATAATGAATAAATATAAAAATTATATCGTTGGATAGAGTTTAACTGTCCGATCGCAACGGTGCAAACGAAATTCAATTCGGAGAAAGTTCGAACAAAAAATGTACCTTGACTGGGACCGAATTAGTCCCAATCAGAGAACTTTACAGACGGCGCCTCCTTCTCCACTACGCCGATCGTGAATCACAATTGACTCAGCAACCTTTGTAATCTACTTCTCTTCTTCCCTATATAAGGAGAAGCAACCCTTCTCATTTCTACACCATTCTCTCTACTTCTTCTTCCATTGTGTTCTTGAGAGTGTAAGGAATATTGTGGTGCTGCCAATTTGGTGTGAGGATGCCAGAGCTAGCTACAAACCTCGCCGGAAGTTTCGCCAGAAAATCTTCAAAACCTCCATTACGCTTCAAGGTAAGCCCGTTGATATATCTAGTGACTAGAATGTTCGTATAGATCGTTTCTACGTTCATAAACGGTCGTTTGATTGAGTTTTGTGTTTGACATGCTTGAAGAACCAAGAATCATAAACCATGAAATTGATGTTAAAACTATGAATTAATAATGCCAAAATGATCTATGAACCTTAGGGAACATCTTTATATAGTTTCGTTGAAGTTCGGTAACTAAAAGTGGTAATTCCGAAAAATGGACCGAAGGTTGAAGACGATTGAACAGTACCTGAAACACACTGTCTTGATCGATCCTTTGGGAGTTAATTTTCACATCATGGGTCGATCCAGAGAGCTGGATCGATCCCCCAAAGATCTGATCCGAAAATTTGTGTGAAAATGCTATTTTTGAGTTCTAAAATCCTATTTTTGATACCAATTGATTATGATCATTATAAAAATGATTTACCACAATAAAAATGATGTTTTTAACAAATAAAAGTGTTATGTGATGCATGACGGTAAGTTCGAGTGTTAACACTCGAAGCTAGGCCGCTAATTGTTGTTGAATATTATGTTGATTGATGATTATGGTAATAATTATTGGTTGTTGATTATGATGATTAAATCTTGATAATTGTTCTGATTAAAAATGATTAAATCATAATGAATATATTGATGCTTGTGAAAATAATATGTATTGTTAAGGGTATCTAGAAGACCTCTAAGATATATACCCATATTGATGCTGATTTGAAAGGTATCTAGAAGAACTCTAAGATATACCTATATAAGTTAGGCCTTGCGGATATGATGCCCGGTGGCTAGGGTTAAAACGTACGTACGGGATCCAAGAACCAAACTTGAGTACCTACTCGTTTGGGGGTACCACCCACCCAACAGTGAACACTACGTTGTCGGTTTTTGGGTGGCCTTAAGTGAAGGTAAGTTTAAGATTTCCAAAACCCTTTTATCTTAAACTAGGCCTAGCTTAAGGATTATTAGGAGTACTCTGTATACTGGAATATAGTTT